TGCTTATTGGGATTTTTGACCACCAAGGTTGCAGTGTAATATGGAGGGAAGTTTGGGGAGGAGGGGGGGGGGGGGGGGCGGTAACAATCAAAGTATTACAAAAAATGAAGTCAAAGATAACGGTTCACAGAAAATAAATTGATTTAGAAGAAGAATCATTATCAGACAAATATCAAAATAAACGTATCATATCTTTGGAGTGATTCACGGAATAAAATAAATAAATAAATTATGACTATAGTTTAATTGGTGGATCATGGAACAATACCAAGAGTGGGCGAGCTCAATAAATAAATAACAAACGGCTCCAATATACGTCATTTATTCTTGCCGGACAAAATAAAAACAACAAAATGACATTTGGAAACGTGTCAAATTTTGCCCATGATAAGCGTGCGTGAAAATGACTTTCATCCGCCAATGTGTTAATTAATAAGCCTGACATTTGATAAGTGTACACACTTACGTGGCATAGTTACCCTGATGTACACTTGGATTGCATATTTTTATGATATTTAGAGTAACTAATTTAACTACGAATTTGCTCTGAAGAAAGAATACTTTCACAGGCTCACCAGGTTTACTTGCTCCTTCTTGAAAAGAAAATTACTTTCATGGTAACAAGTCAAAAAAAAGACGGGATGACACTGAAAGGCCTGTACGCCGTAGGTAAGTGGATGTCACCAAGTGAAATTAGGCGTCCGAGAATCAAGTTCCATTTCATCAGTAAGATATCTTTATCACTTACACCATACATGTATGTCGACGCTTTCCAATTTAATTTTTTCAACACAGCTAGTTGCCTTAATACGCAAATGCCAAATTGTTGAAAATCAATTTTATTATAAGCTCCCCGTAATTCTTAATGAAGTGTAATAATCAGTTATAATTATTCCACTCTATCTAAAGAATTCTGTGTGTTTTTATAGTTTGTTGGATTACCTGCTGTTTCTTACTTGTAAGCGGGGATGGGTGCGGCAGAACCCTCTTCACCCTCCCAACGGGAACCATTACTTCTCCAGGGTATGAAAAAGGGATATATCCGAACAATCAATACTGCAACTATCGTATATCAGTTACAGGTATAAGATATTTTGATGAATTGCATTTTTCATAGACTTGATTTAACTTTGAACATAAAAGTACAAACATATAGCATATATTATTACAGAATTAGAGATTTTGTAACATAATGAGCTGCTTTATATGCATGTAGGGCCTACTTGTACGTATATATGTTGATATTTAAGTGAATACATATATTTTTTTCCGAGGTTCTTGTGGAATAATCATATCTGATGACCTTCAGACCCAAATCCCTTCAAACAACATTGATATACACTCATTCTGAGGTGATATATACTAATTATATACCGTAATACATTTTATTTTCAAGGGGCCAAAGGGATAGATATTACCGTTTTGGATTTTGAGCTGGAAATTCACGACGTATGTCGGTATGACTTTGTAAATATACGTGGAGTCAAATACTGTAACAATGTCAAAGCTAACACAACAATGTCATTCCCTGGAAATACATTAGTTATTACATTTCACAGCGACAGAAGTGTAGTGAAAAAGGGGTTCAAGATTAAATACAAGGCAAGTTTTCCAGTATTAACCACACTGTCTTCCACGGAATTTATGACAACGCTGATCCCGACTTTATCAACAGCCGTGAGGCCAGAGAGAGACATATGCGGACAGACCATATTCAATAATGCCACAGGGATGATCCGATCCCCAAGACACCCGCTCAACTACCCTACGAATATACGATGCGTGTACAGTATACGGACACCAGGTAAGTTTTTTTTTTTTTTTTTGAGGGGGGTGGAGGGGGCATCGCTTTCCGGGCTCTAAAATGATTTAAAATGATAGTAATTTTCTGATAACGGTTAACAAAGAAACGGGCGCATGGACGTCACTGGCACAATGTAATGCACAGCGTAGAGGTCCCTCATGCTTAAGTAATCCCTGAAGTACAAGTAGGATTTGCTGTAAATGACTTGAATTATTATATGAACATTTAGGTCCCTGGAAGTAATTCCCCCCTTTTGACAAAGGGGAAGGGGGGGGGGGGGTAAACAACACTAAAAACATACGCATGGGCACCACGCCATATAGACAGATTATTATTAAAAATCTTTAACAAACTACCTTTAATGGGCACGTTTTGATAAACAAAGCTGAGGACTTTTATCGCTTCTAACAAGCTATTATCCTGGATATTGTCGCTGCTCGTTTGATTATCTGTCTACCTTTATTGTGTCGAGACTCTTCAGCTTCCTGAAATATAGATATAGAAGTGCGTCGATTTATCAAATTGATAAACGTACATGTAATTGCTGACTCTAATATTGTTTTATAGATTATGTATTGTTTTATTATTTATTAAATGTTAACGAATAATACAGGAGTTACTTGTTAACCGCTTCATGACAAGTTTCTGCTGTATAGAAAATTTCTTCTTCATAAGTATCCTATCCGGGATATCCCGCTAAATCAAAATTTCCTCTAAAATATTCTAGTTACATGTAGGCAGGTTAGAAACAGAAGGATAGAAAGAAGGGTGAACATATAACTTCCTTGCCCTATATAATAAAAATTCTCATACGTCAAGGAGTGGAATCATGCTTAGGCTTTATGGCAAAATATCTTTTCAGGAGCAATAAGATACCACCTACACTTCGGTGAATTCAGCCTGGAGAGTGCATGGAAGTGTAATGGGGACTACGTCAAAATTACATCTGGTGTCCGTTCTCTTGGACGTATTTGCGGCACTGAAGCAGCCAACAAAACGTATACCTACGACACGGACAGTATTGAGCTGGAATTCGTTTCTGACGGCAACGTCCAACGTTCCGGGTTTTCTTTGAGATACAATGCTGAAATAGACATGACAACAGTGGAATCTGGGATAGAAGCTACAACGCAATACTACATCAATGGCAGTGGCCTCACAGCAGCTGAAGTCTCAGTCACCCCTGCGGGTTTATGCTCAGAGAGCAGTTTTACTGGGAGCTATGGGTACATAGTGGTTAACCTAGAAAATGCCCCAACACAGTGTCGGTTTCACGTTCATATACCAGGTGTATATTTCATGTCATGATGAATTAGTCGTCTTTTCATTTTATTAGTCATCCTTTATTCTCTTCTTAAAGTTTAAAGTTGTTTTTCAACGAAAGCCTATTCAGACTATTCTTCAGCTTCAAAGGTGTAAGCAATTTATTATCATTATTGAGTAAATTTTTGTTCATTTATTTCTTTGGTTGTTTTCAAAATTATTATATTACAGGTCTGCTTGTTTACCCTGAATATCTACTAACCTAATCAACAATGTCTGTTTTAGGAACAACATCAGTCCAACTACGATTGCTCAATTCTTCTGCACAAAACTGTTCCTTGGCTCTCATAGTTCAAACAGCAGAACGGCATCACTACGTCAACGTCACTTGCGGCGACTCCCTCAATATACCCGGTAACAACGTCAATCTGACACTGTATGCAGGGGAGGTGAATGATTCGGTGACGGCTTCTGCTTTGCAGCTGCCAATAAAAGCCACGCTGGAATATACGGCAGTTTCGTCTCATGAACTCTGTGGACAAACGCGTTTTACAGAACCAACGGGGGTCATACAGTCTCCGTGGTTTGATTTCGGGACGTATCCCTCAAATTTGAATTGTACTTACACCATCAATGTGACAAGTAAGTAATAAAAAATAAACAACAAACGCAGTACAAAGAGCAATACTAAATAATGGTTTTGGGGAAATCTTGAAGTAAAGCTTAACAATAAGTACCCCTGTTCTTATTTCTCTCTTATACCTGAGTGTTTTACAAGTCGTTAAAGTGATGCCACTTTGTCAAATGTGCATATAGGCCTTACCATGTTTTTCAAAGGTTTTATGCACACTTTTATGCTGTTTCATTTCTAGCAGCCACAAGCATCATATTGCGCTTCATTAATTTCGAACTTGAGCCGGATGTGCATTGTCAGTACGACTACCTAGAAATCTTGGGACAGAAATACTGCGGAAATAAATCACCCAACGCATCTGTTCTCTTCATCTCCCCTGTAGTAATTCGCTTCGTGAGTGACGAGTCTTCATACAGAAGCGGATTTAAACTGTACTACAGTGTGCAAGTTCCAAGCACTGAACACGTGACGTCCCCTATGACGTCACCAACTTCAGAAGCGACGGAGTCAAGTTCTGCTGCCTCTACCGATTATGAGCCTGAAGTTACAACTGATTTTACGGTGAACGGCTCTACCAAGTTGAATGAGATATCACCAGAAGGCACTGATTATACCACGCCAACAACGTCTGAAAACCTAGCGAACACAGCACCCTCTTCTACAAATAGCATGAGAGTTACAACGCCAGAAATCGCTACCATTACGACCGCAATCCCAGAAGAAACACGGAGTAGTATCAGCAGTACGGAATTAGTGCCAACTACCAACATGCCTGAAACAACGAAAGGTTCTTCTATTGATGCTTCTTCTGTTTCCACCATGAAAGATCGCACGTCTACCAAAAACCGCAGCACGTTGACAACGACAATGGGTACAGTGGTCATTTCTACAGGACCTAGGTTTTCGACTGCCGTGTCATCCCCGGTCGCATCAACACCTAGTCCATTTACAACAATCGTGATCTCGAATAAAGCATCTTTCATGACTACAGCTTTTCTTTCCAGTATGAGGGCGCCATCTACATCAGTGCTGTCATCTGTTAAATCAACCCCGGGAGTTACTAGTACAACAGCGACCATCCCCACTAGTACCAAATTGACCACTAGTATCAAACCGACCACTAGTACCAAATTGACCACTAGTATCAAACCGACCACTAGTACCAAATTGACCACTACTATCAAACCGACCACTAGTACCAAATTGACCACTAGTATCAAACCGGCCACTAGTACCAAATCTTCAACATCACCACGATTAAAAACTTCGTCAACACTGTCACGCTCTACAACTACTATCGCAAGAACCATATGGCATAGGACCACCACTCCCATATCTTCCTCTCCACCACCAACTAAAAAGGCCGTGGGAACAAATGTGGTCGGGCAGAGTCAGTTTATGAAGAGTCTCTTGGCCAAAACTGGAATTAACATCGGAGACTGGATGTTGATTTTATTTATCGCGGTGGGCGTGGTAATACTAATACAGATGGTCATTATCGTCCTTTTTGTCAAGCAAAGGTAATGCTTGGTATCAGCATACACTATTTTCCCTATAAATGGCACCTTAGCACAAAAAAACGACCCTACATTTTAACGAAATGTTGGCTCTATAGTCCCTCATATGCCAAATATAATACATTGAGACAAAAATATGAAAATTAAATTAGGCTATATTATGAAATACTTCAGGGTATATAACCTTCAACTAGTTAAATGATAATTTTTGTACTGAGCTTCATAACAACAATGTGCACCAATCCTCAAATTTAATCGGTCGCTTTTTATTGACTGGATTGTCTTTTCAACTGTTTCATCTTTTACATTTTTAAGCGGCTTACAATTTGAATATGTATAAGAAAAAACTACTTTACGAGTGTGTTCCTATATTTTAATAGGTCATTTTGCAACTTTCGCCAAAGGTGCAAAAACGAATATTGATACTTTAAGCTCTTATGATACAAAATACTGATAGATTAAAGTGTTCTGTATATTATTTCAGGTGTAACAGCGAAAAGCCCGCACCGGAAGCAAACAGCGACGGAAGATACAGCTCTTTGAGGGAAGAGGGCACCTGTGAGATTGGTCAAAACGTTACTGAAGGTGGCGACACAGGCGGGAACAACCAAGCTATGACAATTGAAAATCCTCTTTTCGAAGTTGACGATTGTACAGCATAGTTAAGGTTATGTCGATGTAGGGGACCACTTTTTCCTAAGAATCTATCGTCCATGATAGCCTGGTTTATCTTTTTGTTCCCCCTTATTCATAAAAAATAAGGGCTACGCTTATACTAAGATATTTTAGTATTTAAATTTAAATGACCTTTTTGGGAAATGCCTTCAATTGTTTGCGGTTAATGACGTGTTGGCAAAATGACTGTTGCGAATACAAAAACATAATTTTCCGGTGGAGGTATGAACATTTATTTACACACGTCTTGACACAAAACTGATGACGGTGAACTGAAATAATTGAAACAAATGAAACAATGAAAGTAACAGAATAAACAAATATAAATTTCAACTTAATACAAATATCACAATAAAGAAATTACATATAAATACATATATAAAATAACTAAATACATACATAACAATGCTGCCTCCACTCATTCGCGTACAGTACTAGGCGTGTTCCAACCATGACAATACATGGTGACGTTTTATTACCACTCAACAGAACACCAATCATCCAACATATGAGGGCGCCACTCACACCAAGACGAGACAACACAAAGTAAACATGACAAACAACACAAACAACACAAACAAAAAATTGCCGACGACACTGTCGGCAACAATGACCGATAGCTAAAGTTTACTGAATACGTATCAAACGACTGACGCTATCATTTTACAATCACCTAAAAGTATTTTTAATTGTAAATCATCAGATGTTAAACATTGAAAACATTGCGACTGCACGTAGGCCTTCTTTTAATTATGACGTTTGAATTCTTACAAAGACGATCGAGATGTTGAAGCAATAATCTGCGCTTTTCTATTTTGGTCAGTTACTGTCGAATGCAAATGACTGTAATTACGATCAACATAACTGAGAGGAAACACTGGTTCCGATTGTTATTGTGCGTGCTTAATAGACTGTAAGGTACATCAACTATTCAACACAATTTACAATCACGATATTAGTAAACAAGCGCACATCTTGCTGTTGCTTATAAATATAAAAAATACACAAAGGAACTTCTCTGGAATATGAAAATGCCGCATCTTTACATGAATTTACAAAAATAAAAAGTAATTACATATTTAAAATTCCCATCTTTTTGCAGAGATATCAAAAGCAGTTACAATAGTCATTTGGTCCTCCTAGCCTTTCTTGAAGTGTTCCAATTTACAAGCCATCAAGTAGAGCATGCGCACGTGTGCGACTATACCGAGCAAAAGATGGAAAACATGATCTTCCATTGAATGAAGCAGCCCCCATCCCCACCCACAGATGTCGATAGGCCTTGCATATGAACGTATGTGTACATATTAAACTACATATAAAGTATTATGCATTTTAAGCTTCAACATCAGCCATAGGTGCACAAGGTCGACAGTTCAGTGAAATGTAACTTCCCTGGATTTCAGGGTTTCCAAGACGCCACGTTGCGATACTTTCGCGCAGCTGATTGTTTGGTGTCAAGTTCGTATCTGCCATAGCATTTGCTGTAACAGGGGAAATCCTGCTCCCACTTAGCCAGTGTGTTATAGCCGCTCTGTCGTATGTGATACCATCGCTCGCGATAACAGGATCTTTCATTAGATCTCCTTTGATTGGACACAAAAATTGTTTAGGGATGTCATGTCCAGGGGTTCCGCCATGTTGACGAATATGTATATCTGGTGGGTCAGAAACACCACTCCTTTCATTATTGTCCCCAGAAAATGGTACATTACACACACGGTCATTGCGTTGTGGAAAATTAGTTGCAGCGGTGGGTGTCTGCGTGCAGAAGTTTTCTATGGTATCAAACTCTCGTTTGGGGTTGCCATACCGATGAAAACTGGCGGAATGATCTTGACCTTGCAGAATGACGTAACCGTTGTCGAGATCCGTGTATACGTGGTCTTCAGCGGCGTTAAAAGAGAGACTGCTATATGGAGGCGGGGCTTGAGACGTCACTGGGGGCGGGGCAAGTTGACTGGCAGAACTGCACGCAGCCGGTGGTCTTACTTCATTGTTGCGTAGATTACGCAGACTGCTGAACCTATCACTTACGAGCAAATAATAATAATAATAATAATAATAATAATGGTGGAGAGGGCGAACGAAACAATTAACAACAGTTCACACGAATGACAGCTAGCAACGTCATTACAAACTAAAGAAGATTTCTGTTTCAGTATATCAAAAACATTAGATTATGTCAGAAAGAAACGCGCTTTGATAACATTAGCTTGCTTCAATTTTTGCTTCAATTTTTCGTCTATTTTGGTCAATATACATACCGACTGTTCCGCTCTCTCTTCATCTTACAAAAACAAAACAACCCGTATGCTATACTCCCTGCTGCTGCCAGCACAACCACAGGGACCACTACGGCCACCACTACCGTGTCACCTCTATAACCAGCAGTACCTAGAAATATCCCAGTGATCATTACATCACGTGACCACCACGTGGCCGACATACCACGTGACTTATACTCGGAATTACGTTAACCGCGCTTGGTTCACATCAGGCTGTCAGATAAAGAAAATAATGAAAATAAAAGTCAAAAAGTAGAAGAAAGTTTTAAAATATTAAATTAATTCCGAGTCATGGTTTGATTGACAGTTCTGTAGTGCACATGGTCATCAGTGATTGGATTACTCACTGGCATTTAAAATTTAAGCCTGATGATGTTAGAAGAAAAGGGACATATACTGATATAGAGCGCGTTTTATATGTCGTTGTGCTGTCTGTAACCAACCGGAAAAAGAGCAGCTAAACCTACCTGCTGGGGCACGTTGACTTGGTGTTGTTGTCGTGGTTGTATCTGAAAAATGATTTTCACCTTATTTATTCATGACATGTTGAGCGCATGTTGGAATGTAAGTTTCATCTCTCTCTCTCTCTCTCTCTCTCTCTGTCTCTCTCTCTCATAACCAGAATAACCAAAGTGGCAGACTCTCCCTGCTGAGTCGCCATGTGGGATAAATTGCACTAAAATATGATGTATAATATAAAACAAGGCAATCTATATTTTGTTTGTCGTTATGTATTTAAAATACTAGAAATCTATTGTAGACTGGCCTATTCAATTTCTGACATTATCTGAATTTTCATCATATCCGTTCATTAATGTTTGAGTTAAGCTCTTAAATAATAATAAAATAACTAAAAAAAGCTAAAATAATGGTCTTGGCTTAGATACTAAGGACGCGCTGGACAATTAACTGTGATAAAGTGCTGAAATGCAAAATGTAAATAAGCAAACTATATGCTTACGTTGTTAAGATTATATCAATATATCAAAGCCACTCGATTACATTTAGAAAAATGCCCAAACAGTCCGTGTATATTGTCTTGAGAGGATGTCTGATCAATTATTTAATGACCAAGAATATTCATGAACGATTCCAACACAAGGACACCGGAATGGGGTAAAATAATTATATGTACCATGCTTGTAGTAAGGGGTATCAAATGTAAGAACGAAACGAGCTAGAAGAGGAGTTCACACGCATTGTGTTCATTTCTTACACTCATATTGTTAGAAAAAACGACAACAACGAGATAACAAAGTTTAAATGTGGATAACAATGCCAAATACTCAGACAAATTCGCATTTTAACTAATTATCTGCTCGTCCTTAAAAGTTCTGGTGTTAAAGCGCATACATAGATAAACACATGAGTAAATGAAATAAAAAGACTTAAATAAATAAAAAAAATCATTTTTAAACTTGGGGGATCAAATACATGCACCTGCATTATTTTGATTCAGTTTTATACTTACACGGTGGAACAGCTCTGTACCATAAGCGAAAACCCATTGCACCCATTGATGCATCACTTGAGAACTCCACCAATATGATATTAGCATTGACATGGAGCCTACCTTAATTCAATTAAAAGGAATTATCAATAATACGTATTTGTCGAACATCATCAAATGCATACTCATTAGAAAAATATCATTAAAATACATAAAAAGAGAAAACAAAACTCCCAACTTAAGATTTGGACAGATGTCAAAATCCCCTATGTCCTAAATAAGTATCATGAACATACTTATGTCTTATTTCTTGAAATGGAAAAGGATAGCTTTTTAAATTCAAAATAATTTTTTATCTATTGGATATTCAGCTTAATACTAAAGAAAACTGTTTTACAAAAACAGCTAAACGGACGGTATTATGTGTACCTTCCTAAGCATATCTCAAGCGATTGTCTTTTTTAAACAACGACAAAAAACTTTCGTAATATTGTAAGGGAAAAGACACAAACTTACTGTTCGGTAGTCGACCTGCAAGATTTCTAAGGAGAGTAACGGAACCCTCCAACTCCTTGAACAATTTGACAGAATCGCAACATGACTCTGTCACCGAATCAACTGTGAAATCAATATAAATAGAAATGTCAATCTAACAATCTGTCCGTCCATTCAACCTCTGCTCCAAAAAATGTCAAGAATCCCTAAACCTTTTTTAATGCAGAATGACAGGTGGATGAAAAATAATAAGTCCATGTAGAGCATAAACGACTCGATTATTACCAAGGCAACGCTAATTCAGCTATTAACATTTACTTGGTATCATATATATTTATAATAATAATAATAATAATAATGATTATATTAATAATTATATAAAAATATTAAATAATAAATAGGCACGCAAACAGAAAAATATTTGTGTCAGTTGAAACCTAAGATATTAGAATGCACCCACCATCAAACTGCAGGTTAATGGTGTATCCCACGGGCACAACAATTGCCCATTTGCAGAGAACGTTGTTGTCATAGTACTTTCTTCTGAAAAGCGGCGTCTGTAGCCAGCCCATACTGCCGTTCCCGCTTGACGTTCCGCCATCGGAACCGCAACCTTAAACAAAAATAACAACAATAATAATAATAGATAAAATTTTTTTAAAAATTCGTCAGTCTTATCTTTTTTTATCTAATATGTCATTGCGAGTCCACCTTTTTTGTAGTTACGCCAACCTTCGGGATCTATTTCAAAAGTCAGAATAATTTGATAAAACAGGAATCTGTACTTTACCTTAGGAAACTTTGTAAACACAAAAACATTTTAACAAACAGGCATTCCGCATCAAAGTGAATCATCAAATACACGCGTTTTCACAAGATAATCTCCAAAGAATCAAAGCAGTCACTTGTCTTTTAAAAGCGTTTGTCTTTTAAAAATTACTGTATCGTATACTATTCTTGAACGGTCCTTTACTCCTGGTAGCGTATAGACGGCTAAACTTACCGCCTGACACTCCTAGTGCGGATGTGTCTTTCTCAGGTGATAGTGGCTGTCTGTAGCATATAAAACCTCTGAACTGCATACATTGGTCCACCATTCGAATCCAACCATGGTGGGGACACTGGCTGAGGCGAGTCTCATTACCTTTAATTTGAAAACCACGAGGTATGATTAAAGGGGAATATAGTGATGACAGCCTGTGCATTACAGCATAGTTTACAGATGTGACGTAGAGAGTGTTCATTTATATGACGTCACGGGTATATTACCCCCTGCTTTAACCTCTTATTATATAACTATATGGTGTATAAAAGTAGTCTTTTACACCTGACGGAAGTATATCATAAACCAGTAATTTTACTACACAGAGCATGCATGGGTTACAATTTTGACGACATTATTGTTCAGTTATATGACGTCACGAGTACATTTACCTCTTATAAGGTCACAAAAAGCCAGTACAAGCCAGTAAAATTGTTCCGTCAAGCAAGATAGCATAACACATGATCACAAACTATCAAAAAGTTTTTTTGTATACCAGTCTCGGGGTGATGTATATTAGTTTGTACTGTGAACATGCATGTATTTCAGAAAGTGGGTCGATATTTTTCCTCAATAAACAACAAATAAAAGCTCTAGATACAGCGTACCTGTGCAATCTGCCTTTGTTATGTACACATCGGCCGAAGGAGCAACAGGGAAAGAGTGGAAGGCGAGAAACTTTGCATAACCCCTTTCTTTGCAGACGACAGCCGCCATGTTCTCGTTAAACCTCTCTGTGCACGCAGTGTGCCATTGCCCCCGTTCAAATACCTCTAACACCCCTTCAAAACTGTCTGCTATCTGGCCATCGTTNGGATAGCTTTTTAAATTCAAAATAATTTTTTATCTATTGGATATTCAGCTTAATACTAAAGAAAACTGTTTTACAAAAACAGCTAAACGGACGGTATTATGTGTACCTTCCTAAGCATATCTCAAGCGATTGTCTTTTTTAAACAACGACAAAAAACTTTCGTAATATTGTAAGGGAAAAGACACAAACTTACTGTTCGGTAGTCGACCTGCAAGATTTCTAAGGAGAGTAACGGAACCCTCCAACTCCTTGAACAATTTGACAGAATCGCAACATGACTCTGTCACCGAATCAACTGTGAAATCAATATAAATAGAAATGTCAATCTAACAATCTGTCCGTCCATTCAACCTCTGCTCCAAAAAATGTCAAGAATCCCTAAACCTTTTTTAATGCAGAATGACAGGTGGATGAAAAATAATAAGTCCATGTAGAGCATAAACGACTCGATTATTACCAAGGCAACGCTAATTCAGCTATTAACATTTACTTGGTATCATATATATTTATAATAATAATAATAATAATAATGATTATATTAATAATTATATAAAAATATTAAATAATAAATAGGCACGCAAACAGAAAAATATTTGTGTCAGTTGAAACCTAAGATATTAGAATGCACCCACCATCAAACTGCAGGTTAATGGTGTATCCCACGGGCACAACAATTGCCCATTTGCAGAGAACGTTGTTGTCATAGTACTTTCTTCTGAAAAGCGGCGTCTGTAGCCAGCCCATACTGCCGTTCCCGCTTGACGTTCCGCCATCGGAACCGCAACCTTAAACAAAAATAACAACAATAATAATAATAGATAAAATTTTTTTAAAAATTCGTCAGTCTTATCTTTTTTTATCTAATATGTCATTGCGAGTCCACCTTTTTTGTAGTTACGCCAACCTTCGGGATCTATTTCAAAAGTCAGAATAATTTGATAAAACAGGAATCTGTACTTTACCTTAGGAAACTTTGTAAACACAAAAACATTTTAACAAACAGGCATTCCGCATCAAAGTGAATCATCAAATACACGCGTTTTCACAAGATAATCTCCAAAGAATCAAAGCAGTCACTTGTCTTTTAAAAGCGTTTGTCTTTTAAAAATTACTGTATCGTATACTATTCTTGAACGGTCCTTTACTCCTGGTAGCGTATAGACGGCTAAACTTACCGCCTGACACTCCTAGTGCGGATGTGTCTTTCTCAGGTGATAGTGGCTGTCTGTAGCATATAAAACCTCTGAACTGCATACATTGGTCCACCATTCGAATCCAACCATGGTGGGGACACTGGCTGAGGCGAGTCTCATTACCTTTAATTTGAAAACCACGAGGTATGATTAAAGGGGAATATAGTGACGACAGCCTGTGCATTACAGCATAGTTTACAGATGTGACGTAGAGAGTGTTCATTTATATGACGTCACGGGTATATTCACACTTATCCCCCTGCTTTTACCTCTTAGTATATAACTATATGTTATATAAAAGTAGTCTTTACTCCTGACGGAAGTATATCATAAACCAGTAATTTTACTACACAGAACACGCATGGGTTACAATTTTGACGACATTATTGTTCAGTTATATGACGTCACGAGTACATTTACTTCTTTAACTGTAAGGTCACAAAAAGCCAGTACAAGCCAGTAAAATTGTTCCGTCAAGCAAGATAGCATAACACATGATCACAAACTATCAAAAAGTTTTTTTGTATATCAGTCTCGGGGTGATGTGTATTAGTATGTACTGTGAATATACATGTAGTTCAGAAAGTGGGTCGATATTTTTCCTCAATAAACAACAAATAAAAGCTCTAGATACAGCGTACCTGTGCAATCTGCCTTTGTTATGTACACATCGGCCGAAGGAGCAACAGGGAAAGAGTGGAAGGCGAGAAACTTTGCATAACCCCTTTCTTTGCAGACGACAGCCGCCATGTTCTCGTTAAACCTCTCTGTGCACGTAGTGTGCCATTGCCCCCGTTCAAATACCTCTAACACCCCTTCAAAACTGTCTGCTATCTGGCCATCGTTTAGGCGTGTGCTATTGGGAAAATGGCGGCCTATAAAAAAACAATTAAAACTGAGAGTTACAGCTCTACGTGTAATTTGGTTATCAAGATTATAAAAAAGAAAAATGAAACACTGTCTGTGCGTAATTTAGCATACGTTAAATAATGTCGTGATGTATAAGGGGCAACCGATAGCGGCATCAACTCCTTCTCGTCGTGGACTTAGTAGGATACAACATAGGCACATGTGCAATAATTAAGACCATCCATTTTATTATCTACTGGTATTATGCAATTACCTTCACAAACAATTCCAACATGGGGACACCAGGAAAACTGGGAGTGACTTGTGGGTGGACTGCAATCAAGTATGCTGTTCTCTAAACCGGCACAGTGAAGCTGAAGTTTTGGGTTTTGGCATAGTCAATCCATTTAAATCCACATGTGTAACAGCTATAAATTATGTTAAGTCTACATATACGTGCTTATTCGGACTTGATTTTCTTTTCAGTTATATTTCCAAGAAACGGTTCTAAAATATTATTTTTTATAGATGTTAGTTTGACATGTCTTGGGAAATACCGAAAAATGATATGAAGAACAATATCAGAGTGAAGTGTCCTCTAAATTGTAACCACATACCTCTTGGAAATGAACAACCGCTGTCCCTTGTCCAAACTCTGTGGTCAGTTCCTCAGACGCAAAAGCAAACCCTAACTGGGTGCAGGCGACTTGGGCGTTTGCTGCCCTATAAGCGGTCCAGATGTTGGAACACATCTAGGATATAGCAAATAGTGCATTTAATGATTATTTATTTTGTCTTTGCATATTGCACGCTATCAATATTCTTCGGGGAATTTTGATGAAAATGCAGTTTAGTGAGGCAGAACTCAGGTGTGGGTATAACGCAAATGACCAGTGGAGACTTCACGTTCAAGGTCAAGGCGGTTTGAAAATGTTAAAGCTTGAAGTCACTGAAAAACTTAACTGAGACTATGCTTTAAGTTCATAGGTAATAAATCATTTACTGTAGGAGATTTTCATACACGTTTAGTTTGCTTACAGAGTTCCATAGTCCATTAAGGTAAATCTCCAGTCTCCCGGCGTTTGATGTATTTCCTCCTACCAGCCTTAAGGTGCCGACCAGTGGCAAGGTATCCTTGTCACAAGACAGCCAAAGAGCCTGCAAAATTTAAATTATAACTAGTGCTGGAGTGGACCCGTTTAATAAAATAATTTAAATCGAAAATCAGTCTTAGTTAAAAAGGTTAAGAATCTTAGGATACTTACTTTTACCTTACCCGTTTTACTTGATTTAATAACTCAGCCAATACACCAAATTCCTTGAATATTTTTATTCACAGTGTCAGCTAGGGCCTTCTTCATAATAACAACTTCATTCTTTAGACCAACAGCACAAAGTCACTTTAATTTTGAACGTGACTCTCGATTACGCGAAGCATGGATGTTATATCATTGGCACCTATCTCATTTATCTGTATACAGGATCCTGTGTGGTTTAGAAAATATTGCAAGATGTTCATGAGAACAAAATCTGCTCTTGGCACATTCTAATTATGCTAAGTGAATGTTGCCAACGCCATATGCAAATTTAATTATAATGGAGTCTACACTGTGTATGGTACAATGTAAGGCGTGGGTTGGAAGGGGTGATTGATTGTTCATTATCTTTCTTTCTTTCCTTGTTTCTTTTTGAGAAATTTGACTGATTGCTACCAATATCAAAAGCATTTAAAATATTTTAGAGTATTTGTATGTATGGGTTGAGGTTCTATGTGGCGTTCTCAAGTGAACATAACGTTCATTTGTGAAACTCCCGTGTTTAAGGCATATTTTTCAAAAAAAGGTTACGTACAGACCTATCTGAGCAGGTTACTGATGGACTTCCGTATGGATGGTGTCCGCATTCTGTTATCGCTCTTTCATTACCCACACATAAAAGCCCGGAGAGGACAGCACCGTCAGAGGGGACGCTTCTCCCCGCCAAGACAACCCCATTCCTGTGTCCAAGTTGCCGGCAGACGACAAGTGCGACGTTGGTAACGATGTTAATGTCTCTTGACCCTGCACAGACGACACCCCATTTTCCACCATAGTGCACTTCCAAACGCCCTCTAGTGAATGTTTCCCCGTGCGATAATCGCACCATTCCAACTGATCCTGCAGTGTCACAGACGACTCCTGCGTCTTCACTGTGGGTTGTGTAATCACATGTCCTGGCGTTCCAACCTATAAATATCCAATTACCTATTAATTCTTTTACACGTTTGTTTAATTAAATAATTTTCTCATATATAATAATTTTCATTCATTGTCCTTAAAAGTCTGCAGTATGAATGAATCCACAACCACCTTTTTCCAATCGAAAGCAGTTGCGAGATATTGGTACACTGAAAACAAATCATCTAGAACCCGCACTACATGTAAAACACAAAATGTAAGCACAGTATTTTTATATTGTGGGAAATATCAAAATTATGAAACCCTATGCATAGAGCATTCCAAACCTAGCATTCGCTCATAATGTCTTTCAGTATATTTCCAGCAAACACAGAACTTTATTATAACGTTACCATATCGTTTATATACCCCCAAAAAACATTATGGTAACGTTATGGTAACGTTCTGTGTTCGCTGGGTTATGCCTACCTGAATGGGTACACGCTCTGATAAAAAGCTCCTGTCCTGAGCACTGCAGTTCAGACAGCCATACATTTCCTCTTCCAGGACCGTAAAAACTGTTTAATTTGGGGAACACGGCGCCAATGTAACCTGCAAGACATAAAACGATAATGAAATAATGATAAATGTATTCATAAGAAATAACTACTTGGCAAGAGCCCGGGGAGAGAGAAAGAGGGAATGCACTGCCTTCGTTTCGCTCGAGGAGGAAATTGGTTATGCCTTTCCCGTGGAGTGCAGTACAATTTACTGAAACATTTTACGAACTGTAATTTTCTACTAATATTACTGTTTTGTTCAAAATATTATACATATCCAGTAGAAGACCCAGGGTTTTGCAAATGGGATGGGCAAAAATGAAAGTAAACGATAGATAATTTTTACAACAATAATATGAAGAGCATAAGGGCGCATAATCGCTTGGTTTTGTATTGCTTTGTTTGTTATACTATGTATGAATCTATTTCATTTTTTTGTCGTGGAAGGGGGGAAGAGAAGGAGAGGAGGAAAAGGGTACATCAGACAGACAGGCACATAGCTGCTCACTCCTAACCTGACTCTGCCTTTTCATTACGTATATGTAGTTTCCTTCATTATTATGGCAAAATAACTTCATTATTTACCCAATTCTCTACACACTACTTCTGCATCAGTCTGGTCGAAACCGTCATCACAGACGGTACCCCAGCTCCCGTCATGATAGATCTCTATTCTCCCGGCATTAGACACGGGGCCTCCTCGGAGTCGGATGTATCCCTTGGGGCGGACCTCTGTACCTGGAAGTCAAAATATTACACATACTGATATACCACAAAGTGTATGCGTCATTGATGTGGCTTAAAATTCATTGTTTTTGTGGAATAACCATGTACTATTGTCAATATTAGGCAGGGAGATCTCTTTACAGATGTTTTTTGATAATAGCGGTTTGGTCATGCTATAAAATTTTCCTACCTGCATCAAGCTTACATCCGGGGGTGAAAGATACGTCATCGACAGCTATATCACTCCGCGGAAACCCCGTCACTGTACCAACTAACAGGACCTATTAGCAAGAATAAAAAAGAACGGACATTTATTTGAGTTTTTGAAATATAAACACTTTTCCGGCATTATTTATCATTTAGCAAAGCCTGTTGAATCTACATCACATCCAAATATCATGCATCACAAAGCAAGCGAAACGAGACACTATTATGAAATATTTCCACCCCTGCGCCCCACGTTTTACTAAAATTGCACGTCATTTTTTAAAAATTTAGACGTTTATTTATGTGCCCTCCGCAAACCTCTGACTCCACTAAGTATGAGAACATAACAACTTACCCGGAACCGTGCAATACCGGTAGTTCTTAGATCCACGGCAGCAAAGTGCCACCTGTCCCCTTGGTTCCCGGCCATGCTCCACTTCTGGACTACTTGAGTAAGACGGTCTCTGTTTTGTACACTGACGCTTAGGTTCCCCATGTTATTTCCATACATGTGGTAAAAGAAGCGCATCTGTAAACGGGAAGGCTCTCATGTACATATATGTAGAATATGCGTTGTTGGCTGGGAAAGCGGCTGAACAGGTTTTGTACCTTAGATAATCGTTGTTGTTTCTGTGCCTGTGTTCAGATCGATTCCAACTACACCATTGTTCACTTGTATGTCTTTAACTGATTTAGTAGTTCTCTTAATTTTAAATAATTAAAATTGCCGATATCAGTGGTAGCCAAGGAACAATAAATCCGAGAACGCTGAGACAGATTATTTCAATCGTCTGAACAGAGTTAATTTATTATAAATGCATTGTAACAAATTGGACACGTCTCCAGATATACAGTTATCGACTTTGGTTGATGTCAATATATTTGCTGACCTTAAAAAATGATATCGACCGCGGCGCAAAATAACATATTGACCAAAAGCCAAAGCTAATTATTGTATCATTACATAATTTAATATAATCTGAGGTAAGCAAAACAACACATTGACAGAAAGAAAAAATTAATAATTGTTTTCAAATAATGCCGTTTAATAGCTACCAGAATATAACTGAAGCAAATGAAAAATAATTGTATATACACTGTATTACAAAACTATATATATATATATATATATATATATATATATATATATATATATATATATATATATATACGAAGTCATCTTCGAGACGAACAAGTAATATCAGACCTTTTTGGACAAGAAATAAACGTATACTCACCTTGCACAGACCGCTAACAGTGAATATTTGGCTCCTCAGGACGGCTCTATTGCCACTTTGACGAGGAACTGAAGCCTCCGTGTAAATATATTTTCCTAAAATGTGATGTTAAATTGTGTCAATATCGCAAACAATATTTACTGTCCTTTGCAGAAAAAGATAATAACATAGGAATTAAAAAACTTTGCCAAATTGTATTTTCTTTCCGTTGATCATGTTTACGTTGATCATATAATTATTTAAATCTCCGAGAGAGAGAGAGAGAGACGCAACGTCACTAATAAGTTAAAATTGTAACTCCAGTATAACATTTTAAAAGACTTTAAACCCTTTAAGAGAAATGCGACTGGATGGCTAGGATACATACTATAAAACTATAACTGCATTAAATCTACTCGATGCATACATCCATACCCTTGCACAAATGGGTAGAAATGCCTCGTTAGTAGAGTACAGCTTTAGCATCTTTGGAAACCGAGTTACGTCTTGATGTTAATCACACAAGGAGCAATGGAAAACTTACTACACTCAAAAATATTTCTCGGTCACACTATAATTTAAGGTATACGCTACCATATACATAGGTGCAAGAGTTGGAAGGTCTTTTCATTCAGATGTTACAAGACGGAACGTAATTATGCCATAACAATGATGGAAAACTAGACAGACATGTAAATAGATAGATACTGTAGATATGTGTAGACTCACGTGTAAATATAGATATTGATATGTGTAAACATGTATATATCTATGGAAATTAAATATCACAAGACATTTCTCTGCACTATATAATATAATATAATATAATATAATATAATATAATATAATATACCCTGGTTGTTCATCAGAGTGTGATCGTAGCTAGGTCCTGTGTAGACTGTTGATGTGGCCCAGGAGTGCCGAGTCCAGTCAAAATTATCCTGGCTTACAGCGTTTGACCAGCCACAGAAATCAGTTTGAAAGTCACATCTTAACCCTTAAGCAGAGAATAATAGTTCCCAAGAGTAAATTGTTTGATGATTATTATTTCAATGTTTCAAGGTTTTTCTTAATATTTTAGTATCTCGGTCTGTTTTTTTACTTATTAATTTACAACCTGTCAAAGTTAGTATATAGTCAAGTATATAAGAATATATACTTACATAGTCAAGTATATTAGTATATGTGTTTGAGAGAGAGAGAGAGAGAGAGAGAGAGAGAGAGAGCGTAAGGCGGGCCACTCACATCCAGCGCAGTTTGCCTCATCAGAGTCGTCAATACAGTCTTTATCATAGTTACAGATTTTATCCTCGGAAATGCATTCCCCGCTACCACATCTGAAGTCTCGGGCAGAACACGTGGGTGGAGGCAAGGCTAAAAAAGTGAACAAATATGATATACAATTTTTAATTAGATATTTTTGGTATTTGGGGTTTATGAATCTGCTTACTGGGCAAATGGGCTCACTTGCAAAAGTGCCTCAAAAAGGTAAGATGGCTACCACCTATTATGAACAAAACTTAACCACTTTTGAAGGACATTATGCTTTATGTTTTAAGGTAATTTTGCGACACTACGGCCTTTAATTACACAGGTACATACCTGGACATGATTATAATGTAAGAAAATCAATTATTTGCGTAAATGGATTCTCTATAATTTTGAGAAACATGAAATTCACCAAGTCATCCGGTACAGGGAGGGAGTCGTATTGAAAAAAATGTTGCATAATAAATGTTGTAGCAAACTTCAACATGGTATTCTAAGTTCGGGAGACTTAAGATAATTGGTGTACCTAGCCTGCATTCAGGAGACAGCGTAATGTCATCCAGGTAAATGCCTCTACTTGCTGTGCCTAGAGCGCCATCTATGATCACGACAGTACTCTGAGGTAAAGGAATAAAAAAGAATGTTAGGTACAGCAAATGTTAGATAATTGCGAAGACAAAGTGTTCAAAAATAATATTTGCTAGTCAGATAAAGGTTTAATGAACATAGGGTACCTTTAATATACAAATGCATACATACCGGAGTAGCCCAATCAAAATGTGCAGGGAATATATTGACCCTGACAAATGCCCATTCCCCACGCTTTACCGTATGTCCATACGGTACAGGATAGGTCAAGGCATCCGTGCGCTTGACCCTTATTGTGATGCGATCTGATACTGCAGTTTTGAACCAGTAGAAGGACAACTGGAAGAGTATAATAGCATGATATTTCTAGATAAATATTTATATTTAAAACAGAAATACAGACTGATACGGCGTTAACCTTTAAAGCACCAGCATATTTTCTGAATTTCACATTAGATATTTTGAAGCAAAATGTCAGTATTGAATTGGATATATCCAAGTATATTATTTGGCTAATAAAAAGCTAACTCCCGAGTCCAAAATGACATTTTAGAGACATTGTCAACTGCTTCGAAAATAATTCTCACCGTGCAGGAAGATGGAATTATTCTCTGAGACAAAGCGATTGAACCGGTCTCTTTGGCATTGCCTTGAAGCGTGAGGTAATAGCTATCTGGAAAAGATAATTTACAATCGGATCAAAAGATGCAAGCTGACTTTTT